TCTGGTGAACCAACTTAGGCTAAAATCTAGTAAAGTAGACCCACTGGTCTACTTTATTAAGTGAATGAACAGGATATTTTTAGAGAAGACTTTCTTCTGGTGAACCCACTTAGGCTAAAATGTACTAAAGTAGACCCACTGGTCTACTTTATTAATGGACTTTACACAGGTGTTGAATCAACAAATTCAAGGGGCCTGTCCGAACTCCAAATTATTCCTGAATTTCAACCTCTGATATGTTCCCAAAGAAGCCCACATTTTCCTAGAATCCAGTCTTGCAAATTGGTGGGCTAGCCAGTAGGTGCCCCATCATTGCAAGGTTCTGTGACCCATGCATTGTCTGGTTTAAATAATTTTCCTTATTTTTCACTAAAAACTCTAAAGATGGTTCACAACTAAAGAAAACAATCAGAACCATGAAATAACATAAAGGAAACAAGCAGTAGCAAAATTAAAGCAACTGAGGAATAAAGCAGCAAGGAGATGATGTTCGACAGGACTGAGATAAATCAGAAAGGTATTCGGTTCCCAAAGGACATAAGTTCAGTTTCTGTGTGCTGTTCACTGGACACAGCACAGCACAATCAGCATCCCCCTCCCCACAATAACTGAAGATCAACTATTCCTGAAATTGCCAACAGGTCTTCAGCATTGTTCAAACTGAGATTTGGTCTGCTTTACAGACAAATCTTCTTCATTTTATATGTCTCCCTACCCGAATCAGCCTGATGCAGTTATGGGTTTGGGATGTGTCCACATTCCTCATTATTCTTGATTAAGATGTCCCAATGCTACAAGACCTCAATGAAGACATCTACAGCCATACCAAATTGTTCGCAAATAGCTGAGAATTAGCCAAACGGCACTTCAAGTTCTCTAAAATATGCACAGCATGAAGCAATGGATAATAGTGGGGCTGATGACATGGCTGTTCAGCCTGCTGTTTGGTCAGATTGGTGTGCTCCTAAACCTGGCAATCAAATGATGTCTTTGCTGAAGTGAACCGGCCTGCCTCCAGAGTGTTCCCATATGCATTTTTCTGGCCACTGTCGAGGGTCCTCTACTTTTCTGATGCAGGTAGGATTGCTCCATTTGGGTTCATGTCCAGCACAGGTGATCCTTGGAAACAGACCAGAATTGACTTTTCAGTTGTCCCGGCTCCTTCAGCTGTCAATTTGCCACATAATGTAGTGGCTTAAAAAGAAAGCCACTTCAGGATATTGGCAAATTACACACTTCCTTCTCCATCTCTGTGGAGAGGTGGAGGAAGTGATTTTTTTAAAAAAGATTCTGTTAGGTTAGTGAAGATGCACTGCGTAATTTATAAAATAAAGTTTTATAAATAGAAAATATCTTCCCTGGCTTGGGAGGAGATGAGAGGGGCAATGAGGAGTATTTCTCCCTTCTTTTCTTTAACTTGTCTTAAAGGTCCGGTACAGAACCTGCCCACAGTCAAATATACTGCTCAGTGAGGGCTGGCTATGGATTTGGCTGCAGGCAGCTTTTTGACCAGCTCTTTAAGAAAGTGGGAGGACCCTAACAGTGTGGGCTGCCCTCCTAGGGACAGAGAGGCTACCTGTGTGTCCAACTCAGGGGCTGCTGCTCACTCTTCAGTCTGTTGAGGACAGCAGGGCCACTCAATGCCTATGCCCAGATGGCTAACCCCAAACATGTTTCCCTGGTCAGCCTCAGATATGATGCAGAGGATCTGATAGGGACCCATCCTCTGTACTATTGCTAAGAGCTATTGGCAGCTGTAAGCAATACAGTTGTGGCCAGTTTTATGCTAAAATATGTTGTACATGTGTGCTTATTTGGTACTCCAGAACTTGGACCCCCGTTACGGTCACTGATAAATACTGAAACACTGTAGCAATTATTCCAGTTTACAATTTTGTGCAAACCCAGCATGTTTGTGCAAACCACTGTTCTTGCCAATGTGAAAACTCTGTAGAGAGTGACAGGAATTTCTTCACCATCCAGAGCCTTGTGACAACCAGAGGTTGCGGTTCTGTACCGTTACATATAAGGGCAAAACAAGAATTTTATATCCACTATTTTGGTTGAATATCAGGAAAAACTTCCTAACTGTTAGAGCAGTACAATAATGGAACCAATTACCTTGAAAGGTGGTGAATGTTCCAACACTGGAGGCATTTAAGAGAAATTGACAACTACCTGGGAGATATCCTTTGATTTGTATTTCTGCATCGAGCAGGGTGTTGGACTTAGTGGCCTTATATGCCCCTCCTAACTTCATTATTCAATGATTCTATGATTTTAAGCGTTTTAGGGGTTTTTTCCTCATTGCACATTGCACCGAGCAGCTTTACAGTGCAGTTTCTTGGCAGATTGACATTTTTCTCCTTATATCTGGCCTGGAATATCATAATGAAGCCAAGATGGATAATGAGTTGCTTGGATTTATTTTACATCTCTGTAGTTTCTGTTTTTAATGTATGGATAGTTACCCACCCCACAGTCATGGAATATTATGTTACACCACTGGACACTGGATAGTTACGCACCCCACAGTCATGGAATATTATGTTACATAAATCCCGAATGTTTCATAATTTCATAATCAATGTAAGACATTTCATTTTCCTCTGCCTTACTGTTTTATCTATTTGCTCATTCTGGACACTGAATTCTTTATTGATTTGACTTTGTCAGGTTGCTAGTTGACTATCTTCTTGGAACTAGCAGGAGGAACACCTTTGTTAAGAGTAGATAGTGTTCATTTTACTTTTGGCAGGTGATGAATAGTCCCATGGACATTTTTCACAAGGCTCATGACTTCCTGTGAGTTCTCAGTGAGTATTCAGGCTATGGCAGGTGAAATTTAATACCATTGTATCACATGATGAAACCCATTTCTTTCTCTGCAGTGACTTTCCTCCATTACATTGTGAAACAAGAAGCAGTTAATAAGGTCTAGAAATCCACCTTTCCCCTTCCCTCCCCCTGCCCTTCCCAAACATATTAGAGATGGGGATGAACCTGGTTTGTGGTCCGTCAAAGTTGACAAACCATGAACCACAAATCTCCTCCTCATGAAATGACAAACCACAAATAAGTTCATCAGGGATTTTTTTTAAAAGCTGAACCCCCCCAACCTCACAGCCTGTCCCCCTGCCTGAACCACAAATCTCCTCCTCATGAAACGACAAACCACAAATCGGGGGATTTTTTTAAAAAGCTGAACCCCCCAACCTCACAGCCTGTCCCCCTGCCCTCTTCCCGCTATCCCAGTCGTCTCCTCACCTTGGTTGCTGCAGTCCATGCTGCCACCACTATCTCCATCACCATCCATGGTGGCCGGCACCATGGCAACCTCCGCAGCCAACATCCACTGCTACTCGCTGTGATGGTGCTTCTCCTAGGAGAAGCTGCAGCTGCCATCTTTGCAAAGGGCAGCCCGGATTCCCTTAATGCAGGCTATAGCAGTGAAGGCCATCACAGCCAGTGTCTGTTACAGCACGTCGTGGCTGCAGAGGGTGGGTGGTGATGATTGGCAGTGGCAGTGGGTGGCGATGGATGGCAGCAGCGTTGGATGATGGCAGCGACCAAGGAAGGGAGGGGAAGGGGGCAGGGTACAAGTTGTGGGGCTGGCCAGCTGTGGGGCTGCCTGGCTTCCTATGGTCCCACCAATCAGCTGATTGGCAGGCCCATAAGAAGAGCGAGAAACCCATAGGCAGAGAGGGCAGGCTAGCCTTCCCTCTCTTCCTATGATGGACAGATAAAAATGGGGCAATATTCATCCCTTCGTATTTGCTGGGGTCTCTGGAACTTACAAATAGGAAGGGATGAATATTTAATGAACCATTAATTTTTTTATGAATATCATGATTCATTTCTTTATTCGTCCCCTTGTCTAATCTCTGTCCCTTGGCCTAAATTTATATAAGCCAACACTTATGGGAATAGACTGTAAGGAGCCTGTTACCGTAGGAACAAAGTATTCACAGGTGATCAGTTCTAAACCCCGCCCCCCCCAAGATGCTGAAAACTTCAGAAATAGCAAATACTACATATGGCATGGACTTGGGCTCTCTGGAGTGGCCTGTTCTGGTAAATATGCCACAGAAATATGCAGAAATATGTATTTCGAAATGGATAAGTACTTCTTGATTTTTTTATTTAATATTTTCAGGCAATGGATAAGTGAATCTGTGGATACTGATCCCATGGATAGGAGGGTCCTACTGTATTATCCAAATCTTGCATTTTTTACCCTTATTGTGTCCTTTTGATTGGCACAATAATATAGTCCAGTACAGATTTTATAGCTAAGGAGATTGTCAAGATTTGGGATGTGAGAGATGGTTCCGAGCCAAGTCAGTCTTCAAAGTAGACAGCAAAGACGTGCACCTCTCCAACACAACACTCTACACATCACCAGAGTGTGGCACTTATATAGTTTGAACAACCAATCACGAGTGTGGCACTTGAACAACAAATCACTGGGCACATCACCTGATGTTTTCTCCTCATGTCCAATAAACATTTTATGGATTGTATCAGCTTCATGTGCTGACTCTGTGGCTGCACACCTGTTTTAAGATGGATGCCTTTTAGCAAACTTTGGATCATGCACTAACGAGTAAATTCTAGCTTGTGAGTCATAATATCCCCACAGAGATAACCCTAATATCTACACGTCTTCTTATAACACAACCCAAATACTGCACAACCTTCCAACTTATACAGTTTGGGTTGGATCAAGACTTAATGTTACTAAAACACACCTGTTAACAAAGGATTTAAAGTTAGTAATGAATGAATCAAACCTTATATTTGCTAAAATATAGGGTTGTAGCAGGCTCTTTACAGTCATTCCCACAGAAGCTGACTTACATACATGTAGGCTAAGGATTAGGGAAGGGGGTGTTTTGATCCCCAATGCAGGAAATACTGTTAAAGAATAAAGCACTACAATAAAATATGTCACATTTTAATAATCAACTGTGTCTAATTATGGAAGAATATGTACTTACTTGCCCAGCGCAAAGCACTCCATCTTAACAGTAGATCCCTTGGCAGCTGTAACAGTGTATGGGAAATGGACTTCAATTTTCGGCTCATACTCCCCCATCACACCTGGGAAATAAAGAACGGTCTTTAAAAATAAAATGGATGTCACTGTTAGTTTCCACATGTATAAAGTTTATTGTCAGAGACTTTGTGGCAAGGTTGTTAAAACAGTTTGTGAGCCAGCTACAGCCAGCTGGGGGAGGCCCTAAGCCCTCCCCCAGGGAAACAGCAGTAGCTGAGGTAGATACAGAGGTGAGTGAGCAAGGAGTGGGAGAACCGGACATTTGGGAGGACACCTGGGAGTTTCTGCCACCTTTGGAGAAGAGAGAAAATAGTCTGCTCACCAGGACCTGCTACCTCATCATGGATACAGCGGCTGGGGCTTCTCACACAGTCAGAAAGCAATGAAGTTCATTGTGAAAGGAAATGATTACAGTTGGGATCAAATTAAAAAAATCACCCAAAACACAGAATTTCTTTCCATCCTATCAAAGCAATATTTTATTTTTAAACAGCAGCCAATCCTTTCTCATGGTGTAGTTTTCAAGTCAGAATTAGAAAAGGCTAGAAAGTATGATACACTTTTATGAAGCAAATTTCAGCTGAAGACCTACTGTGTAGTTGTACCAGCAAAGAAAAAATTGCTATACAGTGGTGCCTCGCTTAATGACGATAATCCGTTCCAGGAAAATCACCATTAAGTGAAAACTTTGTAAAGCGAAAATAAAAACCCCATTGAAACGCATTGAAACCCGTTCAATGCATTCCAATGGGGTAAAAACTCACCATCCAGCGAAGATGCTCCATACGGTGGCCATTTTCGCTGCCTGTATAGCGATGAATTCGTCCCTAAACACAGCAGGGAGCCATTTTAATCACCTGGTGGCCATCAGCTGTTCAAAAAACGTCATTTTGCGAAGAATCGGTTCCGGAAGCAGGGAACCGATCATTGAAAAGCGAAATTCCCCCATTCAGACCATCGTTTGTGATCACAAATACGATACACTTTTATGAAGCAAAATTCAGCTAAAAACCTTGTACTGTGTAGTTATACCAGCATAGAAAAATTTGCTATAATTTGCAAATTGAGGATAATTAACAAGTCTCCGTTTGGATTCCACATCTTGTGTCATTTGGATAGCTTGGTGCATAATGAGGATTCCAAGCAGAGATTTGTTACTTAGTGGCAATTTGCTACTGTGAATTATACCATTTCCCTTATGTGAGTTATGCTATTTCCCTTATGCTAATGTTAACTATGCAATGAATTCTGCACACAGTGTGTTAATATTTCTTCTTTTTCTTCCAACCAAAGAATAGTAACAACAATTTTTGCTGTTCCACAAAATGAAGTATCCAGTTATATTATTGAATTGTGAGCCAATGAACACTTCTGTGGGAAACCGGTCCCTGAAAGCTCAGGAGAACTAATTCAGAATAAAGAGGTGTAGGGCTAGGTTGTATAAAAATATGGAAAAATATTAAAACTTCAGATGACTTCTCTTTTCAGTGAGGTGACAAATAAAAAATATGTTAGATAACATTCCTTAAGCTGGTTGTTGTGGGTTTTTCGAGCTCTTTGGCCGTGTTCTGAAGGTTGTTCTTCCTAACGTTTCACAAGCCTCTGTGGCTGGCATCTTCAGAGGACAGGAGTCAGAACACTGTTTGTGCTCTGTTGCAGTTTGTTGGATAGCTGAGTATTTATAGATGTGGGAACAGCTTTTGTCCCTTTCAGGAGATTGGGTGATTATGGTGATCAGCGTGTTTTTGTTGTGGATGTATCTGTCTCTCGAGAAATTGATGTGTGTCATTAGTTGGTTTTTTGTGTGCAGTGATCACTGGTCCTTGTGGCTGGGTAGTTTGTTGACCTTTTGCACGCTGTATTTTTCGGTGCTGGGAGCCAGGCCTTTGTTGAGTTTTAGATTTTCTTCTTTTTTGTTGAAGCTCTGCTGGTGTTTGTGGATTTCAATGGCTTCCCTGTGCATTTCTTTTTTCACTATCATGCAAGAGTACAACTCTTTTTAATATCTCTCCCAAGTACGGAATAATATTTAGCTTACACTGTATGGAAAAATTCCATGTACTAGAAATAATGTAGAAAGAGTGATAGCTAACCTTCTTGATTAATTCCCTAAGCATCACATTCAATATTTACTGCTCATTTGCTCTATGATGCAGTATTAGTATTTTAGCAAATTATTCTTTCAACTCTGAATCCTTCACATCCATATCTATATTTGGAACTAATAAGTCCTCTGGCAGTCTCTGACATGCGCTGTGTGAATTCCCTACTCTGCAGTGTGCTAAACTGCTAATATATCCATAGTTCTACTTGAGAATCTGGGAGAGAATGATTGTCACATCGTCCTCATCCCACTGGCAAGACGTTCTTCTTTAAAAATCTCTAGCTGAAAAGAATTTTAATATTGCATTTATGAGAAGGGAAGAACTTCCAAAGACTACCTAGCCAACAAATCAGCTGCTTTTTATCTTGCAACATATTTTGAAATAATTAGGAACAAGCGTATGCAAAAATGAATATTGCCAAATAAACAGATATGGCTGTGGTCACACTAGAGAAATGCTCCTATTTTCTCGCATTCTCTGCTTCCTGTAGAGTCTCAAGCTGCCGTCATGTGACATATCTCGTGATAGTGGTTCATATGGTTTTTAAACATTCCACGTTTTTAAATTAAATTAGATATGGTATTAGATATGATATGCATTGAAGCATAACATTTTGTCTTTTTGTGTATTTCTCTGCCCTGCTTCCCCCACTTAAAAAAAATTGTGCAGGTACATCGGTGTGTTGGCAAAACATCCTTGCTGGCCACATACTATTCTGAGGGCATTTTATCCTGTTTCTGCACTGCATTACATTTAATGGTGGAGAACCCACAGTCCTTTTGACATAAACAGACCAACATACTGAAAGGGGGGACTCATATGTCCACCAGCTTCATTGTGAGTACCAGGACCAGAAGTAGCAATTTTGGGACATTTTGGATTCCCACCTTCATTTCACTATCCCCAATTGCTTCTGCAGGATCACAGGATTCCTAACAAAGCTTAGGAAACAGGAAGCAGGGTGATGGTGGAATAGGAAACTTTTTATTACCAAAATATGGCCATAGCTGACTTGTGCAGTGTACATTATTGCCTTTCAGCCACTGGATCAGGTTGAAAATTGGTTTAAATACATTCTTCTTCCATACACCAGAAAGGTTGATCTTTCAGGTCTGCTAAACCTGCTTCCTGTGTGTTCAATTCCCTCATTTCTCCACATGTTTTGCAAATATCCATGCCAAATGTCACATTTTGACCTAGACTCTGCCTTGGGAGGTTTGTCAACAGTTAAAGTCTATGACCCTTTCCCATTCCTCCTGTTTTCCGATTCTCATACGGCTGCTTCTGTGAGGCACAAAAGCAAACAATCACTTCATTCGGCTCCTTTGATGGTGGTGACGCCTGCCCTATTTGATGTGGGTCAGGCTTTGCCCTCTGCTTCTCTCAGTTATAACAGACTGAGCAAATACCTAAGATTGCTTTTAGCATCTCTGATATCCAATTAAGCTGGAAATCAGCTCCCTAAATGAGAAACGCTTGTCTGCTAAGTGTAACCCACATGTGTCATGCAAAGCAAAAATCCAGGATATCTCATCATTTCATTGATAGTCCAGAGCTCAAAAACATGTTCCTTGATCAGCCACAGCACTCCCTCCCAAATGTCTATTATTTCACTGCCTATGGCAACCAAGTGTCCTCATTACAGAACAGTCTTTCTGTCCAGAAGCCAAATAGTTGCTGTTCATAATCAGATCATTTCAGAGAGCGTTGACATATGACAGGAAATGACAAGTGACTTTTGCCGGATTCCATGTCATATGCCAAGACCATAGGGAAAGCTTTGAGACAGGTAATATGCCAGAAAAGGGCTTAGAGTTTGGGAAAATAGAGGTAAATAAATATCTAGTTTTTCCGAATACCACCATGTCTACCAGGCTAAGACTGGCTTGCCAATTTGCCTTTGATTATGTCAGAAGACTGAACTTCCCCACGCTGTCAAGCCCAAAAGGAATTGTAGAAATGACTGGAAGGAACCATACAAGGACTGTGGTCTCCTTCTAGGTCCCAGATAATGCGTAAGAGCTGGCCATGGGGAAGAAACAAAAAAAAAACAACAAAAAAATTCCATCCAGAAGCCTCTTCTTCCCTTGCAACTTGTGTTAATGAGCTGTCATATAATGCTGTATGCCCAAGGTCTTGTACAACCAGATAAATCTTTCAGCAGATAATTAGCAGACAGAGTAACAAAACACCTGCACCTTCCACTGACGGAGGCAGTCATTTTATGTCAAATCAATAGCCAAACCTAACTCTGATTTCACTAATTTATATGCAGTAATTCCTTAGGTGATTGCCCATGCCTGGCCTCTTCTTCTTGCAAGAAATCAGAATGAAACATATCCTTACAGATCCATAATCTTAATGTACTGCTTTGTCAAATGCAGTGTTGTACCCATAAACTAAACAATGCACCAGTCCTAGTGGTTTGCCAGAGGCTCTACAAGGCTCCTGCTTTATTTGCTTGTTTGTTTTCCTATGGTCTTGAGATTGCAAAAATGGTGGTGGGATAGATAAGATTGGATTGTCAAGCAGCTTGCAGATATTGGGCCTGGCTGCTGTATGGTTTAAGGTGGAATGAAGCAAAAGAAGACAGGGAACGATAATGGCGTATAATTAAGAAGAGTAATTATCACATGTTCCAGATTAGACTGATATTACAATTTTAAAAGTGGAGTAACCTTAAAAGCTAAAACATTGCCCTCAAATCAAGGGAAAAGGGCAACATGGTGGCACAACAAGCAAGCAAACAGGAAGCAATCCAAGATGGCAGGCTCCAGGAGCTCAGCACACAGTAATCCTATGAGGAATGACTGAAGCAAAAAATGCTCCTCACTGGGTTCCATGCCATTTTACAGATTCAAAATTTCTGTTCCCTTCCCTGGATCGGCTGACTGTTTACAGCCCTCATGACACCATTGCATGAAAAACCTCTGAGACAG